AACAGCTTTGAACCCTGATCTATTCTGAGCTGATCTTACTGTCTCTGGCATTCCTAATCTCATTACCTCAGTCACTGAGTCAATTCATCTCATCCAGGGTCTTCCTCTCCTGTGCAGTCCCTCCACCCTGTTAAGCATAATGTCCCTCTCCAAAGACTGGACCCTCTTTAAAATATACCCAAAGTATGTCAGACAGAGCTTCAGAATCCTTGCCTTGAAGGAGCAGCCTGGTTTCACCCTCTCTAGGTTGAACCTGTTTGTTCTCCCAGCAGTGCATTATATATTTAATTCTCTTCTCCAGCACCACAGCTCAAAGGCATCAATGCTCCTTCTATCATCTCTAGTCAGTGTCCATTTAGGCTAATGCATTTCTACACAAGATATACAATATTACCATGACCACACTGTTGCATTGTTTTTTTATATGTTGCTGTTATGTTCTGTCATGGGGAACTAATTCATAGCTGACCCTCCAGAGGGTTTTCAGAGGCAGTTCGTCACAGGAGGAGAGTACCCATGTTTATCCTGCAGCACAGGTAGTGAATTAAAACCACGTGCCTTTGGGTCAGCAGAGCGGATCCTTATCACTTGCAGCCAAAAGAGGTCCCTTTTTTGACATACCTATTTATATTTTCATAAAACATAGTAAATGCCAGATAACAATCATAAATCCCTTCCAATTTCTCAAGATATTTCATCAGATCCACATTAATCTTCTGTGCTATTTTTTAGGTCATTTTCTTTTATCTCCCTAAGTTAGGGAGCACACAAACAACTAATGGCAAGGTATCTGGTGACTTTTAAAAGAAGTGCATTTACTTGTACCTGCAAAATTTTGCTTTCTTCTATTTAGAGAGTCTATGGTTTCACAAAAGTTCAAAACCCAAATTCAACGTGCAGTTCCAAAAAAGACTATGTCTAGACCAAGAATTGTTGTTAAGTGCCAACGAGTTGTAGGCAACTCATAGCAAACCTATGAACAAAAGTCCTCAACACTTGTGTGCGTGACTTTCATCCTTTCTCCAGGTTCATAGGGTTTCCGGAGGCAAGCTATTATGGAAGTCAATGCCATTCCTGCTTCCAAGTTTCCATGACCAAGAATAATATAATAAAAATAATGTAACAATTAATTGTCGTATTTGCTACTTTTACATAGTGTCAAGGAAAAGAGCTATGTGGTATTCAGTAAGTAGGGGTCCCAAGCTTTGGTAGAAACTGACATAGAATTAGAATACAGTGCTACTGAGTACAAAGAGAAGAATATTTTAATCATCTTTGTCAAGTTCTATCAAGAATGTTATGAAGGGTTACTTATTGTACTTCACAAAGCCAAGTCATATAAATGTGTAATTCAATATATTTGTTTACAAATTAGGTCTCAGATGTTAATTTTAATTTCTGAAGCTTAGAAATTTACTGGTCAAAAAGCCCTTTTAAAATTATTAACCTTTTTAGGTTTTTCAGAAATTGACATTCTGCGTTAAAATTTTATCTGGATGTTAAGAGGTACATAAGTCTCTAACATCACACAATACTAAGAACAGCTCTACATTTTGAGCTCTGCATTTTGATAGTCAAGCTGATGAAACTGTAAAATATTAAAGTATACCTGTTTGGGTATTTTTTCTGACTTGGGTTTTTCTTTGGAATCAGTCTCTTCATGCTTAGTTGCTAAAGGTGCCTTAGAATCTTCCTCATCTTCAAAATCATCACTATAATTTTCTGAATAAGTTTAAAAAAATCACTCTGTTAGAGGTAAAATTCAAATAAAAGGTTGCTTTTAAAAGTCATTGATTTTCAATATCTGCGTACAAGAAATTTCTTGAAATAGCAAAATGATGCCTTCAGAGAACATTTTTTTAAAAATTGAAGGACAATTTAATTAACATGATTTTATTGTTATTGTTGTTAAGTGCTGTCGAGTCATAGGCGACTCACAGCGACCCTATGAACAAAGTCCTCCACACTGGCGTGACTTCATCCTTGCTCCAGGTTCATACGGTTTCTGGAGGCAAGCTATTTATGGAAGTGGATGCCACTCCTGCTTCCAAGCTTGTTTTAACTGGGTTATGCCACCAAACACTGTCAACTATGGGTAACCGTTATTGCATTTGACACGTCAGTGTCACTGTGTTCAGCTTCACAGCGACCACAAGTTACCTCTGTA